CTCTTATAATAATCGGTACCGCATCTACTTCTTCATTGGCAACAAATTGTAAAAAAAAATTGCAAGCAGAGGCAGCACCGGACTATGAGCTGAAGAAAAATTAATATAAAAAAAAATCTAGTGCATGGAATATTGCTATAGTCAAAGAAAAAGTTAATTTGACAACATCATTTATAAGTGTGACATTCATACATTGACAGTGAAACAACACACTCTGTATATGTAAATCCTTTCATTAAATGCTCTCCTGCACCAGACACATAACAACCTGTCATGAATGAAGCCCCATTAGTACACTAATTTGCAAAATCACAATATCTAAAATGAAGGAGTGAAAAACAAAAACAAATTTAAACGAAATTCAAAAATCAGGAGATGAATTTGTTAGATTAGTAGCTATCTATGCTTATAATCAAAGTTGTATGGCCATATGAAAATCTTTGCCATACTCTACAACAAAACCATGATGTGAATCCAGGGTTGATCCTCCAACTTCTGGAAAGACTGAATAACAAACAATAATCAATAAAAAGAATAAATCTTCAAAGAAAAGAAGAAGAAAAAAAAGCAGAATAAACCTCAGGGTAACTTACCTCAACCACAAAGGTTTCTTCATCGGAAAACCTCCAAGTCCAGTCAGTTAGAAACTTCCTTCCATTTGTGAACTTTTGTTACCATGTTGTTAAGCTTTGAGTACTAAACCTTTTCCCCATAATCACTTGAATGATTCTTGCATAAAAAAAGTTTAATTTTAAAATTAGGGTTTCGAATCCCAAATTAATTCAAACTCGTTTTGTGATTTCCTTACTGATTGATCGTCCAAAAATGAACCTTGAACAATCGCGAGTGCATGTATATGCTCATTCTCACTTGATTGTTGCAAAGGAGGATAGATTTGAGACTTATGAGGACTTGAGAAAGCGTTAAACCGTGAGACTTTGAGAGTTGTTATCGCTTCATCGTTGTCGGTTGTGGCCTCATGATGGTCGCTTCATCGTCGTCGGTTATGAAGCAAGAGTTATTTTCATTGTGGTTTAGATTGTGTTTGGTTCAGATAGATGGAGGAATGAGAGACAAGGGGAGGGAATATTAGGGTTTGTGGGGGGAAAGAGGCAGAAGAAACAAAACGGAAAAGAGATAATAGGGATAAATGAGAAACAGTGTAATTGAAAAGTGAAAAAGTAGAGAAAAGTGAGGTATGTTTTCGGAATGACCTGCTTGTAGATAATAATTTTATAATAAATAATTCAATATAGAAAAGAAAAATTCAATTTTGATATGTATAAAAACTTTACACTTCTTCTTATTCTTTTCATATATAATATTTAAAAATAAATAGTCAAAATGTTTTTTATTTTCACTACAAAAAATCTCTCATTTGTGACATGAATTTCACGTCACAATAAATTATTTGTGACGTGCACGATCACGTGGTTGGAGAGGGGTCGCAAATTATTTGCGACATGATTTCCATGTCACAAAGTTGTAACGTGAAAATCACGTCGCAACATACTTTTATAGGTATAATAACGTTGCATGAAAAACAGACGTTGTGGAGATAAAGTTACTTTATTTGCCACGTAATTTTCATGTCACAAATTAGTGACGTGAAAATCACGTCACTAAATAATTATATTTAATACCACTTTAGTCTTCAATTTTTATTTTTTTTTTAAATATAAAAAAGAGGTTGCGACTTGATTTTCACGTCACAATTTGTGACGTTTGTGACGTGAAAATCACGTCACTAATCTTTTTCTTTTCTTTTTTAAATTTAATAACTGAAATTTGTTTTTCTTTTATAATTAAATAAATTAATAATATTAATTAATAAATTCAATATATAATAATTTAAATTAATAAATTCAATATATAATAAATTCAATATATAATAAATTCAATATATTAAATTTAATATAATAAAATTAATAAACTAAAATTATAAATTTAAGAATTAATTAGTAGATTTAATTAATTAGTATGGTACAAACATTCAAATTTGAAAGTAAAATAAAATAAAAATTAACGTTTACTGTAGCGATAAAAAATGTAGCGGGGTAAATCGGAGATCGAGCTATTAATTAACTCGTCTCACAAAAGCAAGAGTCACCACCGCGCTTTATTATTTCCAAGGGAAAAGGGAAAAATGCGAAATAAAACCCTAAAATATGCAATCTAAAATAATACTTTAAAAGTAATGAAAATACAAGGCGTTCTGAAAAGAGGTCTAGAGTTCGGGGGTTAGTTATACAATGGGAATGTATTAGCACCCAATGTATCTATAGTATTCTATAGGAACCTTTTGAAATATCTGTTTATTAAAAATATTGTTCGATTAAAAATAAATTGTTTGGCCAAAAATGGGTATGAATGAGTTTTTTTGAAGATACGACGACTTAACGTCGAAGTTTTGACTTAAAAGGTATGAGTTTTGAAAGGTTGAATATTTTGGGGAAAATTATCTTAAGTTACTTAACAAAATAATAAATGAAATATGAATGAGGGTATTCGCATTATGTGTTTGATGACATGAAGTCGACAAAAATTTAAAAGATTCCCTTGGATTGAGACGGACGAAAGATATGCGGATTAACGATCGATTAATTAAAATTACAATTGAACAGTTAACTAATGAAATTTAAATCACACTAGCATGCATTTTAACGATTAATAAATAATCAAAGTACATGAAGATTAAATTACGAAATCATAGATTTTTAATAATTAAACGCATAACAAAAGTTAAATCATGAAACATGTATTTTTAAATAATTAAATAAACAACAACACAAAATAAAAATAAGAATTAAATAGTATGTTGACAAAAATTAAATAAAAGATGAATTTTAATTAAGTATGTTTTTATGTGTTTTTTATAATAATTAATAATTATATAGCAAAGTAAATTAATATATAATTAAGTATGTTTAAATAAAAGGGAAATATGGCTAAAGAAAAAAAAACAGAAAAATGACCCATCAAGGAATTGAACTCAGGACCTTTAGATTGCTATTAATATATTTTACCAATTGAGCTATGCTATTATTCATTAATTAGCATGATTTATATGAAACCTAAAGGAAAAAATTAAAAAAAAAAAGAAATTGAATCAAAATAGGCCCAATGGGCCACCTGGTCAAAAAAAAAGGGAAGGAATAAAAAATGATGTAAACCTAATGCTAGTAAGGGTGCCGCTTATGTTACTGTAAGCATGGGAAAGGAAAAACAAAAATCATTATTAATATGTTACTGTTATTGAAAAGTGGGTTTGGAAAAACAAATATTATATTATATGCTTATTATTAAAAAGTGTCGTTGGCTATTGTACTAGCATATGCTGGCATGGAACAAAATAATATTATTATATAGTTTTGGGAAGAGGGAAAGAGATGGATTAATATTATTACTATGTTATATGTTTTCAAATAAAACAAGAAAAGAGACAATAAAGGAACTTGTAAAACAAAACAAGAACAACTTCATGTTATCCTTTCCTCTCTCATCACGCATTCAACCCTCTTTCTTCCTCTTCATGTATTTCAAACTTTCCTCTTCCTCTCTCTATTCAAGTATTACTTATTGTAAACAAAAATAACAAAAAAAACTTAAGCCAAAATCTCTCCATCAAAATAGATCCGCTCTCTTCCTATAACAATAATGATTCGTCACTTCCTCTTGGCACGACGTTGCGTTTGATGATTTCGTTCTGATGAGTTTGATTCGGATCTGTACGATGTGGTTTTCGGATGGGAAAGAGTATTAAATTGCAGGTTCTAAACTTTCCAAACAGGTATTAAGCCGCTTAGTTAACAGGTTAGCTTTCGAAGATTGTATGGCGTTTTGGATTTTTTGCAGGTTTTAAGCTTTTTGCAAGTTGAGGTTTTGAAACAGCAAAACAAGTTTTTTCTTGGTTTTGGATATTATAATGTCGTTTTGGGTTTTGGTACAACAAGGGTGTTTTCTTTTATTGTGTAACAACAAGTGTTTTGAAAATTTTGTAACAACAAATGTTTTTTTTTTATATTTGCAACAGCAAGTTTTGGATTTTTGGATATTTGCAACAGCAAAAGGATAACAAGCTTTTTTTTGGACAACAACAGCAAAAATGGTTTTATGGATTTTATAACAGCAAAAAGATAACGAGCTTTTTTTGGACAGCAAAGGTGTTTTGGATATTTGCAACAGCAAAATGGTGTTTTTTTTATTAACACGACAAGTTCCAAAATTTTGTTTACAGGTTCTTATGATTCTTATATTTGGCGAGCAAAATGGATAACATGTTTTTAGGACAGCAAGCGATAAACAGGTTTTACGCGGCGGAAGAAGTAAGCTTTTTATTACACTCGTTATTATTACTGATATTATGAATACTAACATGTTTAAATGCTAACAATCATGCAGCAACTCAATTCAAATACAGTACAACAAAAAAGAATGATAAGGCAAATATTGCATGGCAAAGATAAAATGGTACAGCAAGTGATTCAAGCATGAATATATGCAGCAGTAGATAGAGAGGAGGAAAAGAATAATACCTAGCGGAGCCTCTCCGATGGGGCTTCTAACAAAATGGTAAGCTTCCTTGAGTTTGCTATCTTTTCTCCTTGCTGGTTTTTTTTAGAACAACACCAATTTTCTATTTTTTTCTTACTTGCTGAAACTTTAGAACAACACTCTATTTTTCTGGTTTTTTCTTACTTGCTGAATTTCTCTCTCTCTCTCTCTCTCTCTCTCTCTCTCTCTCTCTCTCTCTCTCTCTCTCTCTCTCTCTCTCTCTCTCTCTCTCTCTCTCTCTCTCTCTCTCTCTCTCTCTCTCTCTCTCTCTCTCTCTCTCTCTCTCTCATTTTGTGTTGACAAAAGCTCTTATTTATAGTGGAATATGTGGGATTTGAGGGGGGAAAACAGTAGAAATTTGAACTGTTTTGGCAAGCTGTTTCCATGCTTTGTTCCTACCATTCATTTTAGCCATTTTGATGCAAATTGCTGCTACTTTGATGCAGGTTGGAGCAGGTTTTGGCAGCACTTGGAGCTGCTGTATGTTGATGTTTTTTTTACTGTTTTGTAGCATTTTACAACATCTCTCTTTGCTGGTTTTTTTTCCAGACTGTTTGGAGCATTGTTGACCAACCAAAATGCAGCAAAATTAGGCTTGAAGATGGGTTGCAAAGTGGACTGCATTAGCAACTTTGCTGAATTTTTTTATGTTGAAAATACATTTATACACACTTGTAGCTTCTTTGCAACCTTGTAATAAACTCCAATAAATTGTAACATGAATAAACATGCATTCTTCAATATATTTTCCATTCTTTGGTAGTTATGAATAATCTTGAATCTTCACATAAACATAAATTTTGATATATCCTGATAAAAATTCAAGATCTTCCATTTAAATTTGGGAAATAATTGAATAATACTTGGATGAATTGTTGAATGAAGAATAGATAATAATGCAAGTCTTGGACTTTAATCTTGCACTTTTGTGATAGAAATCCAAATAAATCACATGGATTAATTTTGTAACCAAATAAAAAAGTCCTCATGTAATTAAATAGAATTCTCCACTAACTTCTTGAAATAATGCTTCATGTATTCAAATAACCATGATGTAGATTCACCAAAATAGTCACAAAAATAATCTTGAATAAATATTTCATGCGATAAATGAATATTCTTGGATGAAATCTCTTGATAGCTCCTCTTTAATTATCACTTGGATTCAAATAAAGAAAATCCAAATATTCCGAATATTTCGAATAAATTCTTTTAGAATGGTTTTGAATTTAATTATCCCATTTCGGTGAAATTCAACCCGCGTCATGAGAAAATTTGCAGATGACTTTTGGTCCAAGAAATCGAAAATGACGGTATAACTTGGTTTTTCTTGTATTTTAGAACAATGTGAAACACACATGAACCAAAGCCGGTAGAATTTTGACTGTTCTTCCTAAAAAATATTCGGAGAAAAACGGAGACCATTTGCTGGACAGAGTGTGAAAATAAACGCACAATTCTCTGAAATTCTTTGATGAACCAGTCTTTTGGAAATTAACGAATGACAACATTTCTGTTCTTAGACTCGAAATCCTGATTGACGTACAACGTCTGATGCTCTTCTTTCAGACCTATTTTCTGCACATGAAAACAAAACAGCAAAACATGCACTTCGTGCTTGATTAGTGGTTAGTTATTCATAAAATGCTCACAACACTCGATAATCTCTACACAGTCAAAACTCGAAAGCGAAACATTTGAAACCTACCGTATTTTGTGACCTTGATGTGTATAAAAAATAATGCAGATGAAGCAGGGATCTTAGGTCAAAAATTGGGGTATGACAGCTGCCCCTATTTAAGTTTCTTCTATCCGGAGGTATGAAGATTAAAACCTTCGTCTCGACGATATTGAAGGTACTTAAATACATAATGCGCAATTTTTGCCCTAAGATACCGCAATTATGTTTATGATATGAATGTAGTATTTAAATTCATAGAGAATGATACTGTATGAGACAAAATAATGCTGGAGAAACCAAACACCGACAACCCACAGGAACATAGATTATACACTACTGGGGAAATGAGTCACCAACTTCGAATGATAGACTCTTGACGGCGAATAAATTTGAGAGAATACGACCTCTGATCCTAACAAAGAAGACATCTTGCATATGCCACAAAAATTGATTATTGACCCAAAAATAACGGTGAATTCATAACTCAAAGTCAAAGATAGACAAAAGATGTATCAACTTTTGCTAATAACGGACTACCAACTTCTGAAGGTAAAGATTCATAACAAATTTCTCTGCAAGATTTCCGGAGAGATACCAATTAATGCTGAAATAATATATGGTTGTAGATACACAAGCTGCTTAAATAAAGAAGCCGTCACTTGTTGTCTTTGATGAGAACTATAACATACAAGCTGCTCAAATAAAGAAGTCGCCACTTGCTGTATTCCAAGGATGTCTATAACATACAAGCTGCTCAAATAAAGAAGCTGCCACTTGCTGTCTTCCAAGAAAACTATAACATACAAGTTGCTCAAATAAAGAAGCCGCCACTTGCTGTATTCCAGAAAAACTATAACATATAAGCTGCTCAAATAAAGAAGCCTCCACTTGCTGTATTCTAGAAAAAATATTAATAACGCACAAGTTGCTCATGAAGAGACTGCCGCTTGTCGTTTTCCAACGATGTTAATAACGTACAAGTTGCTCATGAAGAGACCTCCGCTTGTCGTTTTCCAAAAAAATAATAACGCACAAGTTGCTCATGAAGAGACCGCCGCTTGTCGTTTTCCAAAAAATATGATAATGCACAAGTTGCTCCTGAAGAGTCTACCGCTTGCCGTTTTCCAAAAAAAATAATAATAACGCACAAGTTGCTCATGAAGAGTCTACCGCTTGTCGTTTTCCAAAAAAATAATAATAACGTACAAGTTGCTCATGAAGAGACCGCCACTTGTCATTTTCCGAAGAATATGATAACGCACAAGTTGCTCATGAAGAGTCTGTCGCTTGCCGTTTTCCAAAAAATAATAATAACGCACAAGTTGCTCATGAAGAGACTGCCGCTTGTCGTTTTCCAAAAAATATGATAACGCACAAGTTGCTCATGAAGAGTCTGCCGCTTTCCGTTTTCCAAAAAAAATAATAACGCACAAGTTGCTCATGAAGAGTCTGCCGCTTGCCGTTTTCCAAAAAAATAATAATAACACACAAGTTGCTCATGAAGAGACCGCCGCTTGTCGTTTTCCGAAGAATATGATAACACACAAGTTACTCATGAAGAGTCTGCCGCTTGCCATTTTCCAAAAAATAATAATAACGCACAAGTTGCTCAAGAAGAGACCGCCGCTTGTCGTTTTCCGAAGAATATGATAACACACAAGTTGCTCATGAAGAGTCTGCCGCTTGCCGTTTTCCGAAAAATAATAACGCACAAGTTGCTCATGAAGAGACCGTCGCTTGTCGTTTTCCGAAGAATATTTCAGAAGAAAGTTGTGATAACACTATCGGAAAATAAAATCTTCGTCAAAGGGAACCATGAATAAATCCTTCCTGAGGAAATCAGATACTTAAATGCGCAAAATAAATGCACCATTCATCTAGGTTGCCTAGCTTGGAGAAAACCACGAGATAGCCTATGTAAGAGACAAAAACTCCCTCCAGGAATAAACCAGAGAGAAGACAGTCAAACAAGACTCCACCCAATGAGAAAATAACTCGATTGGGGATTCATCCTATCCAGAAATGGACAAGGAAGGCTAAATCAAAAAAATCATCCACGAGGTTTAGCTCAGTTGGGGGAATTAGAAAGGAAGCTCATTTTCTGCCTAAGTTAACATTCTACTTGGAAAGAACATGTACGCTGTTTGAATAAACATAAACAAGGTATACAACCCAAAAATAAATGACAAATGTGAATGTGTATGCATGATATAAATGAGTAAATGAATATTATGCTGACAAAACAGACAGAGGAAATATCTTGAAGATGATAAGATATCACGAAATAAAAGATACTCGACCAATTTTAAAGAGACGAAAAATAACTGGAATTGGAACCAACAAGCAACGTCAGAGCGCATCATGCTACAAGGCTCAAATCTTATGGGGAGAAAAGTAATCAAATCCAATCTTATGACATCAATAGACCACTAACATGATGCAAAACGTACTACACTTCATAAATCTGCTCAAATAAAGACAACTGAAACAAAGCTTAACCGGAATTGTTGGGGAGTCACCAAGCTTAGTACCACTAGAAACGCAAGTTTACACAACCAACACCTCATGACGATTTTGGAAGAAAACATGTTCATCATGCAAGGATAAATTACTGTATTGTTTTGCATTTCATGGCTTGACCATCCTCGGAACAACTGTTAATATTCCTTTCAGTATTCACGACATGTTTAAAAATAGGAATGCGTTAAATAACTTTGTTTCGAATATTGCCGAAAATTAAAAATTTTCCCACAAAAGGTAAATACTCAAATTTCATTAATAAGATGGTAGTTCGCTAACAACACGACTCCAATGGTTTACAAAAGTTGGGGAAATAGCACATGAAAGAAAAAGGTTACATAAAAACAATGATCACTATTCTCCCTAACAACTTTGAATTCCGAAATATGCTCAAATGCCAAGACTGGTCTGACCAAAAGCCTGCCTAAGCCGCCCATTCGGGTTTTCAACTTAGCGAGCTGTCAACTCAAACCTAGGTGAAATAGTTCTTGACTGCATCGGTGTTCACGGAGCGCGGGAGTTCTTCACCGTCCATATTTGTGAGAATCATGGCACCTCCAGAGAAAACCTTCTTAACGACATACGGTCCTTCATAATTCAGAGCCCACTTGCCCCTAGAATCAGGTTGGAAAGATAATATCTTCTTGAGCACGAGGTCACCTTCTCTGAACTCGCATGGTCGAACCTTCTTATCAAAAGCCTCCTTCATTCTTTACTGATATAATTGACTGTGACACAACACTGTCAATCTCTTTTCTTCAATTAAATTCAACTAATCATATCTACTTTGACACCATTCAGCCTCAGAAAGTTTAGCTTCCATCAACACTCTCATAGACGAAATCTCAACCTCCACAGGGAGTACTGCTTCCATGCCATAAACTAGGGGAAATAGGGCTGCGCCTGTTGAAGTTCGAACTGAAGTACGGTATCCATGTAAAGCAAACGGAAGAATTTCATGCCAATCTTTATAAGTTACCACCATCTTCTGGACAATCTTTTTGATATTCTTGTTAGCAGCTTCAACAGCCCCATTCATCTTCGCCCTGTAGGGAGAAGAATTATGATGTTTGATCTTGAATTCTTCACAAAGCTCTTTCATCATCTTGTTATTCAAATTCGAGCCATTATTAGTGATGATCTTGCTCGGGATGCCGTATCGACAAATGATCTGATTCTTGATAAATCTGACTACCACCTGTCTGGTTACATTAGCATAAGATGTTGCTTCCACCCATTTAGTAAAATAATCAATCGCTACCAAGATGAAACGATGACCATTTGAAGCTTTGGGATCAATCATTCCAATCATATCAATGCCCCACATAGAGAAAGGCCAAGGTGAAGAGATAACATTGAGGAGGGTCGGTGGCACATGTATCTTGTCCGCATAAATTTGGCATTTATGACATTTCTTCACATA